TGTATAATGTAATGTCCTCTCTTTTAATACGTATTTTAATCGCGCTCTACTCTACATAACATAATGCAGTAGGATATACGACACATTTTGACATTATTCGACACAATAATTCTTGTCGAATAATCTCACGTGAAATATTTCGTGTTTTCACTATAGTGAAAATTAGCCAATCAAGTGAATGCTCACTTTTGTCATTTTCACTAGGTTTTGAGATACACAATCGACCCCCAGCATTTCTCACTGATTTCAGCGCCATATCGTAGTAGTGGTCAATGCAGTAACTATTAATACGTTCCCAAGATAAGAGCGTCTCATGCTCATGAACTCGTCCGGCGGCATGTACGAGATTTATCTTTTCGTAGCGTTCGCGTATTTCGGAAAGGACAGAATTTTATGATGTTATAAATAAATAAAATATTAACCTGACCTATTATAATTATTTTTTAATAAATGTTTCATTATTATTATCATCTAAGTCTAAGTCGTTTAATTAATTTTTAGTTTTTTAATAATTAATTTAATTTATTCTAATCATTTTAATATGTGAAAAATACTAATACGTATACGTTTTATAATGAATTAATATATTTCGAGAGTCGAATTATATATTTTTAATAATATAAAAGTGTTCAAAAATTATATTTGACTTTTAATTTTAATTATTTTAGCAAAGAGTTCCGAAATCTCTTACACACATAATAGGGATTTTGTTCATCCATATAATTCGCAATTAAGTATATATGTTAATTATTAATTTTAATAAAATACAAAATTAAAATTAAAGGTCAAATATAATTTTTGAACATAAATATATTTAATTCGTTATAAAACGTATACCCGTGATAGTATTTTTCTCGTACAAAAATAACTAGAACAAATTAAATTACTCATAAAAAAATTAAAAAATAATTAAATAATTTATATTATATATGATAATAATAAAACATTTTATAAAAAAAACAGATTCAATAATATAAGTATATATGCCTGCCTAAAGAAGAGACCGCCATCTTCGTGCGATAGACTTTGCCCCTTACCGACACACTTTGCCCCTGGTTCGAGTCCGTGCTAAATTTCGTAGACTTGAACCAAAAGACTTTGCCCCTGGTTCGAGTCCGTGCTAAATTTCGTAGACTCGACCAAAAGACTTTGCCCCTGGTGCAAGTCCAGGCTAAATAAGTACATGTTATACTTATATTTATCGAATCTGTTTTTTAATAAAATGTTTTATAAGCTTAGAAAACTTGACTTTGACGTAACTAGCAAATTTTATTTAATTATTTCACGACGGTTTGACGTAATAAAATGTTTTATTATTATTATATAAAATATAAGTTTAAATTCTTTAATTAATTTTTAATCTTTTATGATTAATTTAATTTACTCTAATTATTTTTGTACGAGAAAAATACTATCATGGGTATACGTTTTATAATTAATTTAATATATAAGAGTTTTAACATATTTGTGTTTAAAAATTATATTTGACCTTTAATTTTAATTTTTATTTTATTAAAATTAATAATTAACATATATACTTAATTGCGAATTATATGGATGAAAAAAATCCCCATTATGTGTGTAAGAGATTTCGGAACTCTTTGCTAAAAAATAATTAAAATTAAAAGTCAAATATAATTTTTGAACACTTTTATATTATTAAGAATATATAATTCGGTTCCCGAAATATATTAATTCATTATAAAACGTATACGTGATATTATTTTTCTCATATAAAAATGACTAAAATAAATTAAATTAATTATTAAAAAACTAAAAAGTAATTAAACGACTTAGACTTAGATGATAATAATAATAAAACATTTTATTAAAAAAAGATTCAATAACTAGTAGGTCAGGTTATAATTTTTTATTTATTTATTTATAACATTATGAGCTATTAAGCTCATCATCTCGTTCGCTCTCTGTCTTGCTTTCATTCGGCAAGTCACAAACAATATATGATACTCGTATGTTCCTACTTCAACTCTCGAGAATCTGAAACAAACGAAACTCGTGTCCAATATACAGGGTGTCCGGTAACTAACAGACCACTGATTACAAATGGATTCTTTGGTCAATTTGGGAACGATTTTTCCTCAGCGAAAATGTCGAAAAAGGTCATCATTTTTTACAACTTTCCAATCTTTGTCATTATGTATCTTTATAACTAAGCCTTAAATTAAAATTTTATTATAGTAAACTCTACCTGAAATTAACTGAAGAATGTAATTATGTTAGACTTTTAACTCCAAAACGTTTAGTTTTCAAAAAACCTATTTTTTTCAATCGCTTATAACTCGAAAATTATTGACTTCTCAACATTTTTGCTAAGGAAAAATCGTCTCCAAATTGGCCAGAGAATCCGCCCTTAATCATTGGTCCGTTAGTTACCGGACACCCTGTATATATTATATAAAAGTGTATAGATAGCACGTCAGAAGCTTGTGAGCTTACAGCGATAAGTAAAAACAATTGCGTATCTATTTCATTGCGTTTATCTGTTTAAACGCGCGCTTTAATTTTTCCAACGTTTTTGCCTGTTTATATTTTAAAGGTCCTCTCTTCTAAAAATCTTGTTTTAAAGATCCTCTCCGCGAGCAAAATTCGAAAACATAAATTATTTAATATTTTTACTTTATTATTTGTAAATCCTCGGTAATTTCAAAATTTTTCTATTTGAAAATTATTAATTTTCTATTGCCAATTAATTTTATCACAGACTTTACTCTTACTTCCATTGCACTTTCGTTTGCGGTTTTCAGTATACGATTTTTTATCGTAGTTACTGAAAATTATTATTGTGAATTATACTTGTGCAATGATATGAAGAATTTACAATTTCGTTGAAATTGTTGATTTTTCAAAAAAATTACGAGATTCGCGGAAATTGCGTGCTTTCTTGGCATTTTCCGTTCGCGGCAGGCGGTTTATTTTTGATTGTTGCAAGTGTTTTTGTTTTCTTTTTTATTAAAATAGATAATAATAATGTGAAATAAATCACGATATTTGACAGATGTGCATATATATAGAAATTGTAATAATAATAATATTATATCATAAAATTGTAAATTGTTTCAATTTTTTATAGACTGCGATAAAAGATTTTACATTTGGACAAGAAACTGCGGTAAGTAAAAATATAAAATTCTTGAAAACGTACCAAAAATATTTGATAACGTAAAAAGGTGAACTTTGAAAAATAAGGAACTTAAAAATTGCACTAATAAATGGGCTATATGTGAGCCGTGCGCGGATGTAAGGTGTGTTATATCGAATTTTAATTAATAGAATTGAGAATTAATTCCAATTTTAAGTCTTACAAATGTCCAAGCTAATTTTTTGTACCTCGTGTACATTTTTGAAAGTTATATCGAAAAATTAAATTTTAATATGCGTCTTACATCTCACATTTCGCATACGGCTCACATATAGCCTATTTATCTCTTATACTTTATTTCAACCCTTATAGAAATTTATTACTAGTAACGCCAATTTATCACTTATTTCGAGTAATTAATCACTTTTATTTCGAATACTTAAATTACTGTATATTATAGTATTTTAAATACTCGAAATAAGTGATTAATTGGCGTAGTGATAAATTTCTACAAGAGAATAAGGAGCCTTTAAATTCTTAATGTAAAAAATTTCAAGTAATTTTCTTTAATAAAATTTAATTAAAAAATTTAATTAAAAAATTTTTGAACACTGTGTTAAATCACATTTAAAATCGTGATTATTTCAATAAAAAAACATTTTATGTGTAAAAAATATATTTTTTATATTTAATAAATTTTATATATATATATATGCATATGTAAAATATTCTCTTTTTCTCTCTCTCTCTCTCTCTCTCTCTCACACACACACACACACACAACGGGGGCCAAATCTCTCAAATTGGTCTCATGATCAATTAGCCTGGATTCGCACCAGGGGCAAAGTCTGTTGGTAATGTCAAACGAATTTAGCCTGGACTTGCACCAGGGGCAAAGTCTTTTGGTCGAGTCTACGAAATTTAGCACGGACTCGAACCAGGGGCAAAGTCTTTTGGTTCAAGTCTACGAAATTTAGCACGGACTCGAACCAGGGGCAAAGTGTGTCGGTAAGGGGCAAAGTCTATCGCACGAAGATGGCGGTCTCTTCTTTAGGCAGGCCTTTGGCGATCTGTCTATTAGGGTGCGATTACATGGACGCGCGGAAACGCGGAAACGCGGAAACGCGGAAGAGAAAGTAACTAAACTTTACTAGAGTCCCGCATTTCCGCGCGTTCCGTTCCGTCTGTTTTGATTGCCTTATATTACATGGAGCACATTTTGAGCGGAAAAGCGGAACGGTATAGTGACAAATAGACATTTGTATTAATTTTTTAAATTTATATTTACTTAATTCATTGTAATTCCTTTTAATATGTTCATATCTTTTCAACTTATCTATTGAATACAAGCATTTTAATCAATAAATATAGTTAAATATTAATATTTTATAATTCCCCGTTCCGCTTTTCCGCTCAAAATGTGCTCCATGTCAGGGTGCGATTACATGGACGCGCGGAAACGCGGAAACGCGGAAACGCGGAAGAGAAAGTAACTAAACTTTACTAGAGTCCCGCATTTCCGCGCGTTCCGTTCCGTCTGTTTTGATTGCCTTATATTACATGGAGCACATTTTGAGCGGAAAAGCGGAACGGTATAGTGACAAATAGACATTTGTATTAATTTTATAAATTTATATTTACTTAATTCATTGTAATTCCTTTTAATATGTTCATCTTTTCAACTTATCTATTGAATACAAGCATTTTAATCAATAAATATAGTTAAATATTAATATTTTATAATTCCCCGTTCCGCTTTTCCGCTCAAAATGTGCTCCATGTAATATAAGGCAATCAAAACAGACGGAATGGAACGCGCGGAAATGCGGGACTCTAGTAAAGTTTAGTTACTTTCTCTTCCGCGTTTCCGCGTTTCCGCGCGTCCATGTAATCGCACCCTGAGTTCCATCTATGGCTCCAATTACTCCTGGAAATCCCGTTTTCTCAAAAAATCTATATAATAAGTTCAGGTAGAGTTATGTTACAGAGCATATTTTGTACAAATTAACTTCAATTTTATATATGCGATTCAAGTACTTACTCTTCTTTAATCTCTTGTTTTCTTCTGTTTGATATTGGAAATTTTATCCATCGTCCCATAACTGTATTTATTGCATTTACAGTGGCATGAATAGCAACAGAAATGGAAGTCTGACACATGCTTGATAAATAATCTTGTCCAGTTCTTCTTTGATAAGAACCTGATGCAAAGAAATTAAGTGTAGCAAAAATCTAAAACATAATAAAAATTAAGATTATAATAGTATATTGGCTAACAAGTGCGGGAAATCGGAAATCGGACGAGAATGCGGAAGTTTGGCGCACGAGGCGAAGCCGAGTGCGACAATCCGCACTCTCGGCCGATTTGCGACCCGCACATATGTTGGTCACAATATTTTATGCGATCGGTGCGTGTAAAGGGAGCCCTTTCTAAAATCCCATCATGTGCGGAAAGGGCGACTTTCCGCGCACCCGTTGCATAAAAATTATATAATAAACAGCATTTTCTACTTGATAAAAATTACGCACTTTAATATAAAAATTACGTGCACCAATGAGTACGATTTTACGTAAAACAATAAAAATTAAGAAAATTTAACTAAATATAGTATAAAGCATTTGGTATTTGTTGAGCATTGACTGTCCAGTTTATATGTATAAAGTAGAAAACATTATAAGAACATTTTAATAAAATAGGAAAGATGAAGGAAAATATTTGAAAAATTAACAACTTGTAAATGTGATGGAATTGCTGTCTTTCTCTTTTTAATTGGCATAAAAGGTATTAATTCTTCTATTAGCTCTATAGTTGCAGCTTTATTTAATCTGAAATATATAAAAATTACATTATATATAATATAAAATTAATATATAATATAATATATAATATATATAATAATATATAATATATATAATAATATATATATATCTACATCTTTAAACTTGCAGGTGCAGCAATAGCTTGGGAGTCCAGAAAACAAAAGACTGTCTCACTCTCTACTACCGAAGCCGAATACATAGCTCTATCGGAGGCTGCGAAAGAGGCAAAATATATCCGAAAATTTCTACAAGACACTGGATTGTGGGAACATCAAGGATCACCCACAACCATCTATTGCGACAATCAAGGAGCCGGAAAGCTAACGAAGAACCCGGTTCATCACTCCAAATCAAAACACATAGGGTGCATTCGTTTATGCAGCGATTAGCGCATCCACTGCGCATCTACTGCGTCTATTATCTGCGAGTCACGTGACATCATTTACCGAACGATCACCTGCGTGAATTGACTGCTCAGATTGTAATTGGAGTGCGTAAGTAAAGAAATTTTAAATAAATATGAATTAACTCAGAAATAAATATTTTTTATTGGCTCTCAATATAAACAATATAAATATGATGGTTTCTAAATTGGCCTAAGAGCCATAGCACGAAAAATTACGAAAATTAATTATTCGGAACTGTATTTCTTGGTACGAGATTACTAAAGTTCCATATATTAATTAACCTCGAACTTACATATGGAGAAATAGGCGCGAAAAATATAGGTCCGAAAAGTCGCTGAAGCGGGAATCAAACCCGCGTCTTTCACTTTCCGGGCGACTGCTCTTACCACTAAGCTATTCAGACTTTTCGGACCCATAGGGTGCATTCGTTTATGCAGAGACTGCCGCAGAATGCCGCAGATGTCGTTCGTTTACTCCACCTGCGCAACCGACTGCAGCGCAGTTTGTTGTTCGTTTAAGCAGAGCTGCTGCCTATCTGCGCAGCCATCTCGGAGGTCCTGCTCAGGATGCTCTGCTCGCAGTACTGCGGACTACTGCGTAAACGAATGTAGTCTTCTCCATTGTTAAGCCAATTGAACTTGGAAACGTTGTCTGAAAATTATTTCAATTATAAGTTATGTTATAAAAGTTCAGAACAAAGAAGGTGGAGAACAACTCCTCCAAATAGATCCTACAAAACTAAAAGTAATGCAAGGTAAGTAATACAATAAAATTATGAAATCTGTTAATTTATATTTACGATCCAATTAACTTAAAAATGCATTTTTATCAAGAATATAAATTTAAAGTAATCTGTTTCAAAAAAATGTGCTTTTGTATAAAGATGCAATTCTGTTACAGTCATTCCTAGCTATCAAGTTACTTCGTCCCCAGTTAGTTTGGAAAAATCTGAGAAGTCTACATTCAGCAACATTTCAATCCTACTGTCATCACTGTCTGAAAATGTTATGTGCACACGTCATATGTCAGAACCTTCAATCTATTTAAAAATTTCATTATATTTATTCAAATAATAATTCATATTTAATATAAATATGATGGTTTCTAAATCGGCCTAAGAGCCATAGCACGAAAAATTACGAAAATTAATTATTCGGAACTGTATCTTTTTGGTACGAGATTACTAAAGTTCCATATATTAATTAACCTCGAACTTACATATGGAGAAATAGGCACGAAAAATATAGATCCGAAAAGTCTGAATCTTAGTGGTAAGAGCAGTCGCCCGGAAAGTGAAAGACGCGGGTTTGATTTCCGCTTCAGCGACTTTTCGGACCTATATTTTTCGCGCCTATTTCTCCATATGTAAGTTCGAGGTTAATTAATATATGGAACTTTAGTAATCTCGTACCAAGAAATACAGTTCCGAATAATTAATTTTCGTAATTTTTCGTGCTATGGCTCTTAGGCCAATTTAGAAACCATCATATTTATATTGTTTATATTGAGAGCCAATAAAAAATATTTATTTCTGAGTTAATTCATATTTATTTAAAATTTCTTTACTTACGCACTCCAATTACAATCTGAGCAGTCAATTCACGCAGGTGATCGTTCGGTAAATGATGTCACGTGACTCGCAGATAATAGACGCAGTAGATGCGCAGTGGATGCGCTAATCGCTGCATAAACGAATGCACCCATAGACATACGCTACCACTATGTCAGGCAAATCTATGAAGAAGGCGAAATAGATGTGCAATATATACCGACAAGTGAAATGATCGCGGATATTCTCACGAAAAGCTTATGTATTTCAAATCACGAAAAATGTTTAAAAGGTATAGGCACAGGACTAGTTAAAGTAAACAATGATAGAAACGAATAGGATTGCGATTCAGGGAGGGTGTTGAAACATAAATATATACACAAATAGAACCGCGCGGGTCAAGACTGTCATCTTCTATACACACCGCCTATCGACCATCCAATCATGGGTCGATGTATACATCGACCTAATCGATAAATCGATCCCGGTCGTACTAACTTCCGACGCGCTTGCTCTCTTCCGCCTAGTCCTTCTGGCTGTACGATCTTTTTTCTTATAATAAAACGTGTCTAAGCTCTACACTATATTTTTCTCTTCTTGGATCCATCCTTGCGCTACCCAAGCTCACATCCCAACAGTATGTATAAAAAAATTAATAATATATTGTAATTAAAGATTTAGGTACATATGTGTATATGTATTTTAGTTGGCATTTAGATATGCATGACGTAAAGATTGCAATCACAGTTGAAATAATTACATAAATCGCTCAAACTAACAGGTCTTATCACGGGAAATCTACATATAATATAGATTTTCTATAACTAAAAGAATCAGTTATATATTTTGATGTCTTTTGTTATCTATTTCTGTTAAGGCGTCTTATTATTGTAAGTGATTTGTCAAAATCACTTACTGTATACTATATTATTAACGGTATTCATATGTATCTTCTATGATTATATTAGAATACCGTATGCCAACAAATACATATACGATAGATTTCATTTATTGTACCGTGTTACTGTACTTTCTTAAAATTTTATTATTATATATATCTCGTGTTATATGTCATTAGTAATCAGAAAATACATGATTTTACAATTTCTTAGCATGATTGCATAAAAATATTTTATTTAGTCCGTGATTAAACCTGCTAGTTAACGATTTATGTAATTTGTTTCAACTGTGATTGCAATCTTCTAAGAAATTGAAAAATTCATGCTTATTTTTCTCATTACAGGAAAATAATACTCATTACTAAATGTAACATGATTTGCAAACATATTTTAATGAATGTAATTTCATGATACACAGTATAAATATTTCTTTTCAATGACAAAATTATGCAAGATATATATAACAATAAAAAAATGAAGAAATTTTTTTTAAAATTACAAAATAAAGAAATTATATTATTTTATAGAAAATACTCATATTAAAAAATGATTCTTTTTCTAGATAATTTTTACTACGTTCCACGTTATTTTATGTTTTTTCTATTCCTTGCATTAATTTTTTTAAATATTAAAATTAATAAATATTAATTTAACGTATAAGACGGGCAACAAGAGCCAAATCGCGGATGACAATGCGTTATCCTAACGAAACTAAATAATTTTCCGTTAGAATTAAATACCGGTACACAAGGCACCAAATTTTACTTGGACACGGCCAAGATTTTAAAATATGAAATAATCTCATATTTGAGATTTAATTTCAATACCCCCTTTAACCCCCCTACGGAAAATAAATAAATGAATGCAAGAGAAAAATATAGATCCGAAAATCGCTGAATCGGGAATCGAACCCGAGACCTTTCGCTTGCCGGGCGACTGCTCTTCCAGCTGAGCTATTCAGATCCTTTCGATTCTATACTTTTCTCTGTTATATATATTAATGTTGGTAAACAAACGCATTTTTAAGCCAGCGTGTATCAATATAAGAGTTTTAACAAGGCTCTGTAATATAAATATAAATTTAACGTATAAGACGGGCAACAAGAGCCAAATCGCGGATGACAATGCGTTATCCTAACGAAACTAAATCATTTTCCGTTAGAATTAAATACCGGTGCACAAGGCACCAAATTTTACTTGGACACGGCCAAGATTTTAAAATATGAAATAATCTCATATTTGAGATTTAATTTCAATACCCCCTTTAACCCCCCTACGGAAAATAAATAAATGAATGCAAGAGAAAAATATAGATCCGAAAATCGCTGAATCGGGAATCGAACCCGAGACCTTTCGCTTGCCGGGCGACTGCTCTTCCAGCTGAGCTATTCAGATCCTTTCGATTCTATACTTTTCTCTGTTATATATATTAATGTTGGTAAACAAACGCATTTTTAAGCCAGCGTGTATCAATATAAGAGTTTTAACAAGGCTCTGTAATATAAATCTATCTATATTTTTCTCTTGCATTCATTTATTTATTTTCCGTAGGGGGGTTAAAGGGGTATTGAAATTAAATCTCAAATATGAGATTATTTCATATTTTAAAATCTTGGCCGTGTCCAAGTAAAATTTGGTGCCTTGTGCACCGGTATTTAATTCTAACGGAAAATTATTTAGTTTCGTTAGGATAACGCATTGTCATCCGCGATTTGGCTCTTGTTGCCCGTCTTATACGTTAAATTTATATTTATATTACAGAGCCTTGTTAAAACTCTTATATTGATACACGCTGGCTTAAAAATGCGTTTGTTTACCAACATTAATATATATAACAGAGAAAAGTATAGAATCGAAAGGATCTGAATAGCTCAGCTGGAAGAGCAGTCGCCCGGCAAGCGAAAGGTCTCGGGTTCGATTCCCGATTCAGCGATTTTCGGATCTATATTTTTCTCTTGCATTCATTTATTTATTTTCCGTAGGGGGGTTAAAGGGGGTATTGAAATTAAATCTCAAATATGAGATTATTTCATATTTTAAAATCTTGGCCGTGTCCAAGTAAAATTTGGTGCCTTGTGCACCGGTATTTAATTCTAACGGAAAATTATTTAGTTTCGTTAGGATAACGCATTGTCATCCGCGATTTG